GATTTTGACGTTAGACTTGTGCTCAGTACCAAAAACTACATGTAAAAAATATAACGGGACCCAAGCAGAATACTGCTTTTTTATTTTGTGGGATTGTGTACATTTCCAAACGCTGTGTTAACCAACTAGACTGGAAAAAGTAATTCTATCCAGCAAAATGCCATTCCATATGCAATGTACAAACGAAGCGTGGGATACTCTCACATAAAGCAGTAATTTATTTTCCGATGCAAAGGTCAACGAAAATGCCTTATTATGATTCATGGGTTTCGTGGAAATCCAAATATCATTATCCACTCCTGGCATGATAATGAGGCAATCTATTGATGTATTTCTTCACTTATTCCTTATAGCTTTTAGTCAATTCATCAAAAGCTACCCATAATCAAACAGGAACGCTCGCTTGTCATGATTTACCCAAGGAACGAGTACAATCCAAAGAAATCTCAAAGTATTGAGAATCTCTATTTTGAGTATTAGTTTTTGTCAACGGCGGATCCAGGATTTGTGTCTGGGGGGGGCACACTGGTCAAAAAACTTCATGTTCAGGAAGATGTTCTTCCATCACAGTGGCAAAATGGACCCACCCAAGGAAGGGTTGGTCAGAGGGCCCCCCAGCAAAAATCAGCTCTAGTTTCTATATTGTTCAGCGCGCCTGAATGTAAAATTAATTACAAGAAATCAGAGTGTTGTTATATTCTTTTCATGACCATCCGCGTAATGTTTATGAAACAGCGCGTAAGCACTCAGTTTGAATAAGAAAATTTCCCTTTCATTTCTTAAGAAATTGTTTGAAAAATGACTATTTCATTTCTAAAAAAATGGCCGAATGACCCTTTTATTTCTCGAGGAGTGGAGGGGTTATTTTTTCATTTTGTGCTTACAGTAATATATTATTACCTGGCATATATTGTTCAGTAGATGAATATCTTCGTGGTATGAATCAGCCTCTTTCAGTCTAATAAGGACTCTAATGCGTCTACTACAGTCTTTTCACGCCTTCAATGCTTATAACCATTCACTTTCACAATATACCGTGGAAGAAATTTTTTGAATGTGTTATCAATTGCATAGAAGATACAATTTCAAGAGTGGGAGCTTCTGGCGAAGATATAATGAATGCAAGATCACTCCCTTCCTCCATGAACCAGACCTTCTTCTTCAATTTGTTATGGTGGCATTCAGTATTGAGCGTAATGAATACTGTGCAGCTCCAAATGTAAAAGAAAGAAATATACTTGATGATGGCTCAAAGGTGCATTTCAGTAGTACTAAAAAATTAAAAGATTTGAGGAGTGAAGGCACATACGATAATTTTGTTCTGAAGGCTAAGAATAAACGGGAAGAGATGGAATTCGAAAATCGTGGTTTTCCCATTGTCAGAAAGAGGAAAATCAAAAAAAATTTCCACGAAAAAGATGCTGACTCGCGGCTGGAAACACACAAGAGACATCGAATAAATTAAAACGAAGTTTTGGATTCAATGAGTAACGAAAGGATTTCGTGAAGTGAATGATGTGTTTGGTTTTTTGATGCCAGAGAAATTAGTTAATCTAAAATAAAAGGAATTAGAAACCTCCGTCACTAATTTGATGGAAAAATATTCGAAATTTTTCACTACAGATCTAACATATGAATTAGCCAGTTTTCCTAATCAGTAGCTAATACACTCAATTTGGATTCTGCGATGGAAGTTTTTGCTCAACGAAAAGCATGACGAGGATTCAAATTAGAATAATTCTGTTATTTTGTATTGAATAAAATATGTTCGATCTCACAGTCTCTACTTGACATATAGTAAAAAAACAGAGGTAACAGTACGCAGCAGCTACTATTGTGCATATAACTGTAAGCCCCTGTTAATATGTGACATCCTTATTGCCAGCAAACTCTGTAGTTCGTACTTTATCTGAACAATTTAGATGGATTACACGTTATCGAAAAATTTTAGATCCGCGTGAATATTGAAACAGTTGAATTAGCTGTTTTATTGGCACGTTGAAGCAGCATCATATTAACCTTTTGCATCAAATTACTATTAAAAAACGTTTTTTTTTAATTTTTTATTCTCAGTTTCCGTCATTAATTTGCAAATAGCGATAAATGTGAAGAATACAGGGTGTTTCAGTTTATTGTTGCATTACTTTAAGATTCGATAGAACTTTTAAAATTAATGCATAAAGTCTATATAAACATGGGTCGAAAAATGCGTGGATTCCGAAATACAGGGTGTTTAAATTTACTTTCTAAAATAGTTTTTTTTAAATATTTCGAACAATATTTGATTTATAACAGTAAAAATTGGTATACAAGGATTTTTTGGTACGACAAAACGAACCATGGGCATAGTTTTACTGTAGCCGCTAGAGGACGCTCTCTACTGTACCTGTAGTGTATTAAAATGACCGAAATTTTTTTCTTAGTGCAATTTTTTGCTTTTTGAATAAAAAAACTGATTCTTCGCACTTTTCAACATAAAAAGCTCTCCTGTGAGTTTTCGTTATAGTTAGCCGTTTTTGAGATATTTCGATTTTTAAGGTTCGATGCATTTTTAATTATTTATGGGAAAATAATATTTTTTTTACATTTTCGATTTGGGCATTACAAGTAATTAAGATGATCGTTTAGATTGTGTTTTTCAACACCGCAATAATTCCTAACACCAAATAAACACAAAAAACAGAATATTAATTTGTTTAATTTTCCAATATTATTTTTAACAAATTAATTGAATATTGGATGCTATTTGATAGTTAGGACAAACATACAAAATCTAAAGTAGTAAAATGTAAACCCAATTGTTCAATACACAATTCACATCTACGAATGATCATCACATGCATTCCTGATTCTGTCTATTAGCATATCCCTTGTGGTTACGGGAGTCTGGTACACTTTTTCTTTTAGAAATCCCCACACAAAGAAATCTAATGGATTTAGGTCAGGGGATCGTGGAGGCCAGGAGACTGGTCCTCCAAGGCCGATCCATCTTTCTGCATAGTTTGTAACTATTCTCGAATAATGAGCTGGACAACCATCAAGCTGGAACATAACATCATCCCACATATTTGCATGTTCAGCCTTTAAAAATTCAAGAAGGATGCAGCATTTAACCTTGCAGGCAAAGGGTAGGGTCCAAATAGTCGATTACGGTAGATACCAATCCACACGTTCACACCAAATTCATGCTGAAAATTTCTTTCCCCATACGGATTTTCATGCGACCAAGTATGTTGATAATGAAAATTTACCACCCCACGTCTAGTGAAGCATGACTCATCGGTCCATAAAACGTTACTTAAAAAGTCCCTATTATTACCAGTTCTATCAAGAATTCACTGACAAAATGTGATTCTTCGTTCTCGTCCCCTAGCTGTAGTCCTTGCACAGGATGCAAATGGTAAGGACGTCGATGGTCATTTCTAAGAACACGGTGAACATGGCTTGCTGAAATTCCCAAGGCACCAGAAACTCTCCTAACACTTGTGGTCGGATCTCTATCAAACTCACGCAGAATCATACGGGTAAATCTGCGCTGACGAACATTTATGTTTTGATCCCTTTAGAGATTTCCAAAACCATTTTCAATTATTTGGCGATGCACTCTTACAAATACTGAGCGAGTTGGATGTCGTCTGTTTGGAAATCTTCGTGCCTATTCTCTGGCTGCTTCTGGTGCGTTTCCATTTACAAAATGAATATCCGCTAACTCTTGATTGGAGAATAAAAACGGCATTTTTATAAAACTTACAAAAAAAAAACAGGTAAAAGAAACTAAATTTCGTGCATTCACAATTACAAAAAAACGTTTCAGGTTTCAACAGACAACAAAACTAACTGTCAACTAATTGACGTTTAACCTTATTCTGCTTTCAACTTCAAAAATATTTGCAGGCACAGCCTACTTCTAAAAATTATCGAGATACTGACTTTTTAACGTTACTTTATCATAAATAATTAAAAATGCATCGAACCTTGAAAATCGAAATATATCAAACACGGCTAACTATAACGAAAATTCACAAGAGAGCTTTTTTATGTTGAAAGGTGCGAGGAATCAGTTTTTTTATTCAAAAAGCAAAAAATTGCACTAAGAAAAAATTTTCGGTCATTTTAGTACACTACAGGTACAGTAGAGAGCGCCCTCTAGCGGCTACAGTAAAACTATGGTTCGTTTTGTCGTACCAAAAAACCCTTGTATACCAATTTTCACTGTTATACATCAAATATTGTTCGAAATATTTAAAAAAACTATTTTAGAAAGTAAATTTAAACACCCTGTATTTCGGAATCCACGCATTTTTCGACCCATGTTTATATAGACTTTATGCATTAATTTTAAAAGTTCTATCGAATCTTAAAGTTATGCAACAATAAACTGAAACACCCTGTATATCTTTCGCCAATAGTGCCCAGTATATATTCTGTAGTAATGCACGTTACTTAACGTATTTTAGTGTTGTTCACCAAGTTTGTATTCAATGAAATATTAATCACGGCAAACATGTCAACAACTGTCGATCATATTTGTTTTATTTTCTTACTTATAATTTTATGCAAATTCTATAAATAGCGTGCCCCTCCGGGCCCTTTTCCTTAAATCCGCCACTGTGCCGTCAAAAATTATTTGTTATCAAATTTGCTCACAGCTTAGTGCGAAGAAGCTTTCCTACATCAAGCTGACCGCATAGGCAACCAGTCTTGCGCCATCATTTATGAGCTTACAGTTAAGTCAAAGTTGACGGATGCAGTGCTGCCAGTGTTTAATAGAAAATACCAGTACGGCATCCATTTAATATGTGTGCATTACAGATTTATCTAAGAGATTTGGAACTTTAAAAATTGGTGTTGGAACTAAATTCGCCTGAGGGTCATGACCCCCCTCCCTTGGATCCGCGCCTGTTCTCAGCGAGATTTAGATTTGCGTCGATCTCAGCACATAGCTAACGTCAGAATCGCGGTCTACACATTAGATTTTAAAATATTTTTTTTTGTTTCAGAATCAAAATGCCTCAAGGTCCTAAGCCCAGTCCTCTGATAAAACCCTTTGTGGTATTAGCATTACCAGGAATGTACTTGTTTTATAAGTACAACCAGTACAAGAGGAAGAGGAAAGAAAATGCCACCAGAAGACTTGCTGAAAGGGAATTGCAACATCTAAACTACAAAATAGTAAGCAAACTGATCTATTATCCGTTTTCCTAGGCCAAATTCGATACCACCTGTACACGAGTTCAGGGAGTATACTCGCATCTAGTCAGAGGAATATTCTGATTCTTTTTTTTGCTTAGTCTTATTGACAAAAAACCTTAACCAATCTGCATGTTTCCAGACCCAAAATTTTGTCAAAAATTGTTTAGACAACTTTTTAAACAAATTAATAAAATGTTGTGTCAAAGTTTACTTTTTTTTATCTTTTTCATAATATCAAAGTTGATAGTATTCGAGATATAAGAAATTTAATATTTGAAATAGCGTGAAATCTGCCATTTTCGACCTTGAAATATAATATGATAAAACGGAAATTTTGGTGTTTTTCAAGTATTTTAGAAGGTATTGCTATTGTAAACTTTAATGCAGTAATGAAAATCGATCTAACATTAATCCTCGTTTTGATTTGAATACAGTAGGTGGAAGAAGCACGATTATCTTAAAATAATCAAAAAGATTACCAATTTTCATATAATGTATTGCAGTGGGACAAATGATTCACACTCTTACTGCTTATCCCCTTCAAGATGAAATCGTCATTGCTACTTCACATCTGGCGATCTCACTACCATACGTCTACATTTTCGGTATCGACCCTAAGCATATAATTTCAAAGTCGTCATCGCTGAACTCTGAGTTCTCCAGTTGATGAGTGCCAAATCTGGACAGTATCATGGTCCGGATTACATCAGCGTAAGCCAGGCAATACGGCCTAACAGCAACAGCAACATCTTTCATCAGTCTGGTGGTTATAAGCAAGGCGTTATGGATCAGCTCTTTGGTGGTACTCCATAGATGAACTGCGTTTTCGGAAAGACAAGTTGTACAGGAATTCAGGGGTTGCATTAGGTAGGAATTGTTCAACTATGGAGCTGTACAATCGTAGTTTTCACTTTGACAATTTTAAGAAGACAGGTGATCGAATTGGACAAAACCTCTATTTTGAAATGTCAAAGGCATTTGTGACAGTTGCCAAAACTTGGATTGCAACTGCAAAGTGGGTTGCCTACATATATGGCGTTGAACACTAATGGACCTTTGTTCTTGGTTGAAGTTTTTGAAAAAGATTATTATGAAAAATCTGTCTTTTTCAAACATTTAACTTCGTTTGCTCTATAAGACGTGTTCTTGTCCGATTGCCAACCTTTTCGATAGTCTACAGATGACCACAGCAAACAACATGCTTTTACTTCTAACACCGCTGGCGAGGAAGTATTATAACAGCAAAAACCTGCCTTTTGGATGTTAGTTGATATTTCACGAGAAATTTTGTCCATTTCCGTCGATCTGTTTGACTGCCTATCTGTCTGATAATTATTGGCCCCGCTTTACCTTGGAAAATACAGACAGGGTTTTAATGAAATTTTGAGACGGATTCATTTTTTCTAGAAAATGGTAGGTATACTTATATGTGTATTGCTGTGTCTTGGTTCCGAAAATTTTCAGGATAGACATGTGAGATGTATCCCACCCCCCGCTCTTCAATTGTCACACTGGAATGCTTGAATGCCAAATCATGCAGCGATAAAAAACTGAGGGCTAAAGTCGGCAGATCTACGGTCAAAATGGTAGATTTGGCAGCACTGCTAGCAGGTTCAGTCATAGCAACGTTGCCAGATGGTAGATGCTGATGGTCGGGCAGAGTAGGCATTTCTAAATCGCAAAGTTGTCAGATGAGTAGGGATTGGGGACTTACTTGTTTAGTTGTAGATGTTCCTATCTAGCCTTTTTTTCTCAGGGGGGCTAACTTGTGCCTAACAGCAAACTTTATGGACTAATGATAGCAGCGGTCCATGCGAAGTGCAGAGTCAACCTACTTGACGCTTGCGTTTTAGAATAAATCATTTTGATTGGCCATTGATCTATCTTTTCTAATACTTCTCCACACCTTGTTTGGGTTAGAAGTATACTAATATCAATAAACAGATAAAACTTCATTTCGGTAAGTATTACATTTACAGAGGAAACAGAGAATTGGTCTTAGGACCAGCATTAGCCTGAATGTGCCATGGTATCAACAAAAACTTATCAATTTTAACCCAACATTACCTACTTTCAAGAGGAATATCTATTATTCTCAATTATGAACAATCGCAATAAAGATAAGTACGTCAGGCATTTAAAAATATACTAAGTGACATATAAATCCGAACACCCAGTTTAAATGGTTTTATTTTAATAAAAGTTGGTGAATGTATTTATCTTACTGTAAATAACAAGTGAAACAATTTTCAGCCTTATCAGTTGGACATTCAGGTTTTTATACTGCTTTTTTTAATTCACTAACGCTCTAAAAATGAATATTTCAGCCGCAGTAAAGAATCAACGTTGGAGAATTTTGGTTCTTGACATCCTCTACGATCGGTTACGATGCCTAGAGTACGCAGACCTGCACGATTTCGTCAACTTAGTGAGTTTGATAGGGGCCGTATAGTGGGACTTCGGGAAGCTGTACTTTCTTTTCGGGCAATTGCAGTTAGAGTGCAAAGAAGTGTAGACACTGTGGTTAGGTGTTATCAGGCATGGCTTCGAGAAGGCCGTACGCAAAGAGCAAGGGGCACTGGACGCCGCCGTAGAACAACAGACCGTGAAGATCGCCGCCTAAGATTATTGGCCTTAAGGGACCGTTTCTCCACTACCAGGTCCATTGCAAATGAATGGTTTGCAGAACACGGAAGACCTATTGGCATGCGAAGTGTTTACCGACGAATGAGAAGTTTTGGCTTGTTTTCATACCGGCCACACTGGGTACTCCCTTTAACTCGAGAACACCGACGTAATCACCTTGAGTGGTGCAGACAACGGTCACTCTGGGATCAGGAATGGAACAGTATTGTCTTTAGTGACGAGTCTCGATTTTGTTTAGGCATGCACGATGGTCGTGCCAGGGTTAGAAGGCGACGTGGTGAAAGGAGGAATCCACAGTTTTTTGTTGAAAGAAATGTTCATCACACTGTTGGAGTTATGGTTTGGGGTGCTATAGCTTATGGTTCCAAGTCACCTTTAATCTTCATCAGAGGTAACATGAACGCGCAACGTTATATCCACGAAGTTCTAGAACAACATCTTTTACCCTATCTTGACACCCTGGCAGATCCAACTTTCCAACAAGATAATGCCCGACCCCATGTTGCAAGAGTCACAATAGACTTCTTTCAACATAATGATGTCACATTGTTACCATGGCCACCAAGATCTGCCGACTTATCCCCAATTGAGCACGTGTGGGATATGATGGGTAGGAGATTGCTCAATTTGCAACGTCCTCCTCAGACTCTAGAAGGACTTCGAGAGGAGTTGGTGGTTGCCTGGAATGAGATACCACAGCAGGACATTGACCACCTGATCAGAAGCATGCCTAGGCGCGTTGGAGAATGCGTAGCACATCAGAGTGCATCCACACATTATTAAAGGTCAAAGGGCTTTAAAGCAGTGCAATCAGTTTGAAATGTTTATCATTTACTTATTATGCTTCATTAAGTACTTATACAAAATTTTATTAAAATAAAACCATTTAAACTGGGTGTTCGGATTTATATGTCACTTAGTATATTTTGGAGTTGAAATTGATGTTATTTTTCACCTTCTATATTTTCAAAATTAAAAAATTCAGAAGGACGTTGCTTTAAGGCAAAACGTTTTCCTTGCTAAAAGAAACGGCTAGAGCCTAGGAACGAGGCTCTGTTCAAGAGCTTGTAAATTTTCGTCTCAGCCTCGCAACCGTGAAAATATCCGACATTAGGATTACCTCCGAGACAGCAACTCTGAAAATATATCGCTCTGCAGCACCGAGCTACTGCATGTTATGTTTTAGCAATAAATGTATCCGGAAGCACCTGCTTCTCCAGAGGATATGTAATATTCAGTTACATGGAGTTTCAAGAGTTGAAAGTATCTGCATGTGGTTTTGGGATATGACTTCGCCACAGGTCTATAAATATTGTTCTTTTAGTGAGAGACGTGGAAGTAAGCCATAATTTCTTTTACATACGCCTCTTAAATATGCCTTTGGTGATAGTAGATCTCCTAGAACAAAGGTTCTCAAACTTATCTACTGCTCACCTTTGATAATTAACTATCTCATTTTCTAGTGTCTCCTAGAATCACTTTAATTAAGATATACCTAGTATTAAATATTCGTAAAAACACAAATTAGCCACTATATTTTCCCCAAATCAACTTATCGTTTTCTCAAGTTTCTATAGGCGTCGATAAAGAGCCTATCACCTGCAGTCTTTATTTACGTAAAAGCATTCCCAATAATCAATATATCCGGTGACTACAAAACAACGCGTAAAAAGACCATCACTCGAAATTCACTTTTCACCTAGTAGAGATTTTTAACCTTCAATTTCGATTCCACATTAAAGAATACAAATGAATACCGTGGTTCAGCACCTGATATCCAAAATCCGATGTTCCACCCCTTTTTAGTGGTATTTTTTGGTGGGGGCAAACTCCAGGGTTGTAGAAATCTCGTTTACCCCAAATCCGGATTCAGCGTCAAAAAATTGATGAAAATGACACCAAGGGGTAGCTTTTAGGCCCAGGGGTGAATTCATCTAGGAACTATTCTGATCTTGGAATCGGATTCAGCGTCTAAGAAGAAGAATACCATGGTCTGTCTCACGGATCGCGAACTTTATTTTTTTGTGGGGCTGTGTGATTTTTTAGCTTAGCTCAAATATACAGGGTGGCGCATCGAAAACAAAACAGACGCATTTACTGGCAGCTCAGTTTTTTTTTGGAAAAACGCTCAGACCCGTCGATTTTGTTTTCGAGGGCGACACAAGTTTGGAAAAAATCGCGTTAACACGTGCAGCCCCCTGGGCGGGCTGGACACCAACCCTAAAATCTTACATGGAAAGAGAGGTCAAGTGATACCTTATTTTAAAGGTCTTTCAATTCCCTTTATAATTATGTAAAATACATGAGCTTCAGTTCAGTAGTTTTAAAGATTTATTTATTTAAAGCTTAAAGTAGACTAAATCAGATTAGTTTGTACTACTTTCAGAAGAAATTTGACTAAAAGAATTTACTTAATAAGTAAATGCTTTCATGCATTTTGTTGTTGAAAATAGCTATTGGCGCATTTTTTTGTGGCAAAAAAGTTATTTCTTGAAGAAAGATAAGGAAATATCTGGTACTTATTTTAAATAGGAATTTAGTTTGCGATTGATTTGACCAAACTTTGTTGATAAAATAACATGTAACGCTTTATTACATTAATTAACCATGATATATTCCGCAGCAGAAAGAGTTGAAATTATCGAAATATTTTTCGGAAATAATCAGTGCGCTAATAGAACAGCAGAAATATTTAATGAGCGAGATGAGAACAATAACGTGCATCGAAAATATGTTCTAAAACTTGTAGCTAAATTTCGGGAAACTGGGTCAGTCGCCAATAAAAAACGCAACATTGAAAATCTCATAAGGAACGAAGCAATAGAAGTGGAGGTTTGAGGGCAAGATTATGTAGATCCTACGTTAAGTGCCCGCAAATCGGAGACTGTGTGTGGTGCTAGTCGACGTACTGTCCAACGGATTCTAAAGGCCCATAGATTTCATCCGTATAAAATTCACCTGGTACGAGAACTTAATGAAGACGATTTTGATCGGCGATTACAATTTTGTGAAGATATGAGTGAACGAATTACAAACGATGAACATTTTCTATTCAACACTTGCTTTTCCAAACTTGTGTCCCTCTCGAAAACCAAATCGACGGGTCTGAGCGTTTTTCCAAAAAAAGCTGCCAGTAAATGTGTCTGTTTCGTTTGCGAAGCGCCACCCTGTATGTACCTAGTATGAAGTATTTGCAAAAACATGAATTAGCCATTGGATCACCCCGGGCTAATTCTGAGATCTTTACCGCCCTCCTATAGGACCTTACGACCGTCAAGTGAGCGTTATAGGCTGTTGTAGCAGAAGCTGGGAATTTGAATGACCTTTGCTTCCAGCACTACCAAGCCTTTCTTCGAACATTTGTCGTTCTTGTCACATTTGCGAGACATGAAAAGTCGATAACAAGCTTTACTCAAACTATGAGTAGGCTGACGTTTAGCTTCCGGAAAGAAGCTTTTACTTTGGGACGTAGACCGGAAGCTGTTAAATAAAATTTAATCTCTATAAACTCGCAATAAGTAGAATAAAAAATAAATCAATAGATTACATCACGTCCAATTTATTAGAAGTTTAGTGTAACAGATCTGCACCGACAACAAAAATCTCTATCCCCTAATGAAAGTTTGTTGCAAAAGTTTGGTCTTGGCTATCTCCTTCACCTTGAAGGGTGGTGGGTCATCCCTCCCAACCTCCACGTAGTTGATGAAGTCTTTGGCAATCTGCTCTCGGTCTTTGATTTGCAGGGCAGCTCTTTGCATAAGATCCGACTCCAAAGCAGTTAGCTGAGGTAGGCCGTAATTGTGTACGACTCCTCCTCTAGAGAACTGTAGTGTGGTCACAAGGTACCTGTCAATAGAATTATGTGATTAGAAATAATATATCTTAGAGCTTATTAGGGAATTTCCAACCCTAGCAGATCGGCAATCAACAATCTGCTCTAAAGAACATACGTCGATGTAGGTCTGACGATGTTTATGAAATAATAGAAACGCATAGAAACACCAAAATTTCAATTCAATCTCGTAATGTAAAATGTTTACCGAGTAAGCCAGTGTTACCATGTTTATCGATTTTTCGGTAGATCTACCAATTTTATTCCTATTCCATAGAACAGCGATTTTAATGCGAAATCCACCTTTCTCAAATTTCTATGTAGTATATTTCTTTGAGAATCCGTGTCTTGTCGAATGTTTATCACTAAGAGAAAAATTAAGAAAATTGTTGAAACATACATGTTATGTATGAAGAAGCTATTCAGGTGATGACTTGTATTTTTTAGCAGTTTTGTTCATGTTTTAACAAAAGCAGTCAGCGTTTAGAGCAGACATATTTTTAAACGTAAAACGTAAAATAAACACACGAATGGCTCTATTATGTAGTAGGTTCAAATGATTCTGATGAAAGAATGTATATGAAAATCAGATGAAACTTCCAATTTCACTACCCACAAATTTTAGATTAAAAACACAGCTGCTACGCTTACTTTTTCGACATTGATGGTACAGCTCAACATTAAAGCTAAAAAATGTAATCTAGATTGTCGTATCTCTAATGAATTGGCTTTTGTACACATAGTCGGACATCTTTTCACTTCCTACGGCACATAAACGAAAATTGCCCTTAAAATAGTAGTTCGATATTTTATGTTAGCATTTTTCAGTTAAAACAATATCATTTATCAGATATCTTGTCTTAATCGCTTTTCCAGACATCACAATGTGTATTTCAATAGTTTTGAATGTGTTTCTCGTAGTGACAAAAATTCACCAAAGCCCGCGCGAGCATATTTCTGAGATTATTCATCGAACACAAAAACCATTTGACACGCCCTCTGTTTTAGTCTTCGACTAGTGAAATTTCTCTGCTTCTCGAATTTTCAAATAGCAGCATTTGATACTACCCGCCCGCCCCCGCTATTCAATTTTCAAAACCTTTTTGGATTTTGAATCTCCGGCAAGTTTTTGCTTTTTAGTTTACTGCCTACAGAAGAATTTCGCATAAATCTACTGAAAACAGATCGACTATACCTGGCAACACAGGTCAGAACCCAATTATGAGCGCTTTTTGTGTAGGGCGACAAAAAAGATCACAAGGGATGCTGGCGGCCCAACGTATGAATTTAAGTGAAAAGAGTGAGTTAGCGAGAAAATAGTGAGAAATGGTAAATTCGCTATGCGTACAGGAAGCAAAAATATAACAATTTCTTGTAAATACAGTACACGTTCTTACCTGTATATACGTATATACTAAGTGACATATAAATCCGAACACCCAGTTTAAATGGTTTTATTTTAATAAAAGTTGGTGAATGTATTTATCTTACTGTAAATAACAAGTGAAAAAATTTTCAGCCTTATCAGTCGGACCTTCCGGTTTTTATACTGCTTTTTTTTAATTCACTAACGCTCTAAAAATGAATGTTTCAGCCGCAGTAAAGAATCAACGTTGGCGGATTTTGGTTCTTGACATCCTTTACGGTAGGTTACGGAGACCTGTACGATTTCGTCAACTTAGTGAGTTTGATAGGGGCCGTATAGTGGGACTTCGGGAAGCTGGACTTTCTTTTCGGGCAATTGCAGTTAGAGTGCAAAGAAGTGTAGACACTGTGGTTAGGTGCTGTCAGGCATGGCTTCGAGAAGGCCGTACGCAAAGAGCAAGGGGCACTGGACGCCGCCGTAGAACAACAGACCGTGAAGATCGCCGCCTAAGATTACTGGCCTTAAGGGACTGTTTCTCCACTACCAGGTCCATTGCAAATGAATGGTTTGCAGAACACGGAAGACCTATTGGCATGCGAAGTGTTTACCGACGAATGAGAAGTTTTGGCTTGTTTTCATACCGGCCACACTGGGTCCTCCCTTTAACTCGAGAACACCGACGTAATCGCCTTGAGTGGTGCAGACAACGGTCACTCTGGGATCAGGAATGGAACAGTATTGTCTTTAGTGACGAGTCTCGATTTTGTTTAGGCATGCACGATGGTCGTGCCAGGGTTAGAAGGCGACGTGGTGAAAGGAGGAATCCACAGTTTTGTTGTTGAAAGACATGTTCATCACACTGTTGAAGTTATGGTTTGGGGTGCTATAGCTTATGGTTCCAGGTCACCTTTAATCTTCATCAGAGGTAACATGAACGCGCAGCGTTATATCCACGAAGTTCTAGAACCCCATCTTTTACCCTATCTTGACACCCTGGCAGATCCAACTTTCCAACAAGATAATGCCCGACCACATGTTGCAAGAGTCACAATAGACTTCTTTCAACATAATGATGTCACATTGTTACCATGGCCACCAAGATCTCCCGACTTATCCCCAATTGAGTACGTGTGGGATATGATGGGTAGGAGATTGCTCAATTTGCAACGTCCTCCTCAGACTCTAGAAGCACTTCGAGAGGAGTTGGTGGTTGCCTGGAATGAGATACCACAGGAGGACATTGACCACCTGATCAGAAGCATGCCTAGGCGCGTTGGAGAATGCGTAGCACATTAGGGTGCATCCACACATTATTAAAGGTCAAAGGGCTTTAAAGCAGTGCAATCATTTTGGAATTTTTATCATTTACTTATTATGCTTCATTAAGTACTTATACAAAATTTTATTAAAATAAAACCATTTAAACTGGGTGTTCGGATTTATATGTCACTTAGTATATATTAAGTATTCTTGCCCAATTAATTGAAGCTACATTTTAGCGAGCTATCTGATTTTAGAAGGTTGAAATTTGGTATAGTTCTTATTAATGACTATTTTGTACACAACAGTACCGTAAGACTAGCTGATTTGTCATTAGGAATCAAACAAGGCTCTATTCGATGGGTTCCCATGGCCCCTTCCTTGGTCCATCATCAGATCATCTTGACGTCATAATAATATTGCATTGCCAATTGTCATATTAAACATCCACCTTATTGCATTAGAATGACGTTACTTTGCTTATCGTTTTTTTACCAATCCCTTCCGTTTGGTATCCATAATATGGGGGTGACTATGAAAATTATGAATCGATATTTTGCGACGGCCGCCACATTGGATCTGGAATGACGTCACGTTACTTACTGTGTCTCTTCCAACAAGCCCTTCCAGTTGATGACCATATGAAGGGGTAACTACAGAAATATAAATGGCATCTTGCAGCGGACGACATATCCGATTTGAAATGACGACAGTTTTGTTATTGTGTTTCTCTTAAGCCTTTTCATCTGATGCTCATATTAAAGGGGTGACTATGGAAAGTATGAACCGCTAAACTTCGGGCCCTGTCATATTGGATTTAGAATGACGTCAGTTTGCTTATACTATTTCTCTCATCAAGCTCTTTCATATTTGATACCCATACATATACTGTGGAAATGATAGATGGCCGTTATGTAGCATATGCCATATTAGATTCAAAATGACGTTGGTTATGTATTGTCACACGAACCAGGCAGGCATATAAAATTTTATCGTGATTGGTTAAGGTTAACTTGTTACCATCTTCGCAAAGTCTTGGGTGGAGAATTTTAAATCGTAAAGTTTCACATCCTCGCCATCAGCAAAATGTGCAATGTCTACAATCCGGCGACGAAGTGCAACGGCGAAATTTTTGTGAGTGGTTACTGCAAATGCATAATCAAGATGCAGATTTTATTGATTTGGCTTTGTAGACGAATCGCTTTTACGAGGAGTGGAACCTTTAATTCTCATGATGGACATATCTGGTCGTTAGGAATGTTACCCTCGTGCCAGGGGGGTGGTTGTAGATGTACTTCCCTGCACGATGAATGTTACTTCTGGGGTTCGAAGTGGTTGTTGATTTGGAGAATTAGGGCGCTGGGGGAAATGAAAAGATTGACAACTTCCAGAGCCTGCCCAAAATCTATTTAACTATTTTTAATAAATCACCTGAAGGATGCTATTACAAAGTTTGCAACAAACTACCTGAAGGGTGCTATGACAAGGTTTGCAACAAACTACCTGAAGGGTGCTATGACAGGATTTTCAAGTATTCAAAATGATCACAGTAAGCTCAAAATTTCACTTTAATCGATCACCTAACAACAAATGAAAACGAACATTAGTGACTTACCAAGTTTCCGGGGGTATGCATACCTCAGGATCACACCAGCTGTGAAGTTAGGATAAATAATTCATATTAAGTGAAATTAGCTGCTTAAGTATATAGATGCAGTTCGACGGGATTTCAGCACATGGCCGTCTGTGGACATTGGCAACAGCTGAATCAGCTCCCTTCCTCAGGGGCTGCTTGGAACTCTCATTACAGGGCAGGGCGTGGAAAAGTCGTCAGGGCTTCATCTGAAGGTATCAGCAGTACTTTGGTGAAGAAGACGAAAAGTTGGAAAAAGATGAAAAAAGTTGGAAGAAGATGAAAAAGGTCTAAAACAACAATCCAATATGGCGCCGGGTTCCATTTTAACGCAAGCCGAATTGCTTACCTCTGTTGGAGTGTGGCATAAAAGTGTCGGCTAGAACGCCGTAAAAGCGTCGAAGACTCCCGTCTCCCACATCCCCATAGAATTATATGAGACATAAAAAGGAAGAACGCTTAGACTTCATTTGGCGTAAAGATCCGCAAAATGCGTGCTTCTCAACAGAGCTACGACGAAAATGTGAAGTTTCTTCAACTTGGACACGGAAGTTCGAGAGGAGCAATGGAGCAATGGAACAACAGGAAAGAAACGAAGACGTAAACAATTCTCAGATGAAGGGGCCTCAACTACAAAATGAGATAATAGGTGGAGAGTTACGTATAAACCATAGAGGACATAATAGTAATAATAATAATAATAATAATAATAATAATAATAGACGTCTTTATTTATCCACAATTACATTGTAGTA